CTGTTCCAGGCATTGTCGGTTCAGTGGGCACATTTCGGCTTCTGCAAATGTAAACAAACAACTTAGCACGTTCCTCCGATTACTAGGACAAAGATTCCAGAGGAACCAATTTCACAAATGTTCAACAGAAAACAATTAAGCTATCTTAACAGTGCCTACCACGTAAGGAATCCATCTTAGCGGCACCAGACACCAAGCTCAGAAAGAACCTACAATTAATCGAAAAGTGCAATTGCAGAAGCGGAATTGTGCCCTGAACGGACCACTGCTGGAAGCATCAGTGATATTTGAAGCAAATATGCAGTGGAAAATGAAAGAAAGAGAATTATTGTGGCTGATGAAATCACTTTAAGACCGTTTTCAGTTCACACAAGTCTTCAAACTCGATGAAGCTACGATATCAGCGGAGTATTTAGAAAAATATGGAGTTGAAAGATAAACAAACACATATAAATATCTGGAAAAAATAAACTGCTATCGTACAAGGGGGTACGAAAGATTGTCATCTCTGCTTACTGAAAAACTTTATATTATTTTAAATAATGATGGCAATCTATTAAATGGAGAGAGGGAACTTCATAAGTACTGTAGGACACCAACAAAGTTTATGCTGTAAGAAATCGTTTAGGAATTATTTTAATTTAGTTTTTGTTCTTGTATTCATTTTTGTTTCAAATTAGTTTCGTTTCGTTTGATTTTGTTTTGATTTTGTTAAGTTAAGTTTATTTTATTTCTTTTTATTAAAAAAACTTTTCAAATTTTACAGAGTTCAGAATAGAGAATATAAAAATAGGAATCGTTCAAAATATCGCCACCATCTGTAAAATTGATGGGACCCAAACCACGAGTAAAACACATAGTGAAACTATGTCCGCAGTAATTGGAATTACATCGAATTAATGCTAAATCCAAAAATTTATGAAGAAATATTCATAACAACATAATATGGTGAATAACTGTGGATATAGAGTCCAAATTTGTATTTTCAATACGTCAACTTCCAGATACATTAGATACAGGTCTGAAATGGTCATTATGTGTGAGAAGGTGTGCGGGTGATGTGTGTTTGATGTTGAAAGGTATAGGAAGTAGATAAAAAAAAATTAATAAAACAAAAAATAATATTATGGGGAGCAAAGAGCTAGGCTAGATGTTGTTTTCACTATCAATAGAATTTCCATAACTGCTTAGTGATAGCTTGAAAAGATAGTAGACACAATTGTACTTACTGTAAGGGAGTCCCCCACCCCACCCATTCCACAGTATATGGGTTTGTAGAAAAATGGATTTTGCCAGTGGGCTATTTGAGGTACATGTGGTGTGTGAATTTGACTTCTTAGGTAAAATTATGGGACTCAATAGACCAGACTGTCGAGGTGGCAAGTCTTCGTCGAGAAGTGCCTGATATAAAGAGAGATTAGTGAGGCAGTGATCCAGGAATTAATTGTTAAGGGAACTTTGTGGAAAAAAATAAGATCATTCAAGTCAAACTTTTGAGACAAAGGGAGATGATTGTCGACAAGCTTGCACTTTTTGACATATTGCTAGGTGGATAAACTGCGGCCCTCTTCAGACAGAGTCCATTTAATAGTCTCTTTTGGAGGATTTCTAAATTTATCAACTAAGTGAATTTATTACAAAGGGCGCCAGATTATGGAACAATTTTCGAATTGGATAACGACCAGGGAGAGGTAAAGCGCCCGGCGACGTTTTGATCAATGACATATGGCCAATACTCTTCTGACATCCAAGGTAGGTGGCAGGCATTAGTATAAAATTCTGTCGCACTGATATTCCACTTAGGTATGAGTAAATCGACTCCAAATCTTTTTCTAACTTCTACATACACAAGAGGAGTGCCATCAGATTGTATGCGAATGGAGGAGATAAAGAGGTTTTTCCTGATAATAAGCACTTTACATTTTGCTGGATGGAATCGCATTTTGGTCATTAGTGCCCAGTAGAGAGATAGTATATATCCATTTGTAAATTGTATTTATCATGAAGATGATGTATTTTACGCCAGTCCCATTAATTTACAATTGTAATAAATTAAGAAGAACTACCCGAAGGCAGCTGTACTCAGCAATAAAGATTCAATAAACTTCAGCTAATTCACTAACTACCAGTACCACCCTTATCCCGAAATACTAGGTATATCGACCCGAACGCAACCCAAAGGAATTTTTACAGCATGTGATTAATTGTAAGCCGTGAATGAATGGGAAAAGCGAGCGACCGATTTCATTCTCGGTATCATTTTGCATTTGAGAACGGTCAATCAAATTAATATCATTTCCTTTTGTTTGGGAGAGAGAGACACTGGCAGCGGTCCACTCTACCCATGATTATGGGTTTTGGTCAAATATATTATATTGCATGTATATTTTTTAAGAAAACCAAAAATTTTGTAGAAATAGAATGGACTGTCGCCATGGTGAGAAAAGCGAGCGAGCGACTTTATTTTTAATATGATTTTGCGTTCGGGTACGGTAACAGTATAGTATTAGTATTACTTATATCAATATTAGTTCCTTAATTGTTTGGGAAAACTTTGTAAGTTTACAACCTACCAGGACGCGCGCCGAGTTGGACTCGTCGACGGTCCAATATATGGAACAGATATTTTACGAGTATCACCCGTTAAGGAAAACTAAAAGGAGACATTTGGTTTAAAAATGTCATCTCTTTTTGGTTGCAACAACTTTAAGTTCATAGTGAAGCCTGTTTTGATTTGATAGAAGATCAAAACACAAGTTGAATTTTGATATAAATAGTAGTGGATGACCTTGAATTGCTGTACGGCAAGTTAAACAAGGATCTGAAACTACTAGGTTCCGTACATACTCAACTCTGCACCCGTGTCAGTATGTTCATTATATGCAAGCCTCTTGATTTATAAATTAACGAAAACGTCCCACTCCCACTGAAGCTGTAGAAATAGTTTGTGGCCCTGTGCTGGTAGTGGTACGTGACTACTTGACTTTTATTTTCAGGAACGATTCAAGGGATTAGTACAGGCTTCTTCCTTTACATAACATTTGCTGAGATGTTGTTCCAGGAAATGAAAAGCAAAAACGACTCGTTTCTAAAGGTAGGAAAAGTTTCTGAATTTTGTTAAGATCATTAAATAAGCCATGAAGGTAATACTAATATCATTTTAGTTTGAGCCAGTCAGTCATATTGTCTTTTATCAGCTGTTGTGTTATCGATGAGTGATGACAGTATCTATTTATTGATAGATATCTATCTATAGACAGTATCTATCTATAAATAGAGTCACCTTGATACACGTTGTATACCACAAAAAAGGCTTTTTTTATCCTTCGGCATTCGGCCGCAGCGTGTAAAAAGGAGTATATAAATATAATACAACGTGTAATTCATTAAATCATAATTGCATCAAGATTCAAGATTTACCGCGGTCATTTCCTCATTCCTTTCCCCAACTACTAATAATACTAATAGGGTTTAATACGCATTATACGTATATAATTATATAAACAAACAAAATCCTGATTTTTCCCCTACTCTTGCCGAAGGCAAGAAGATCGTAGGGAATAAGTAATCGGGTTTGGATATATGAGGTGGCCCGACGGTCCTACGGTGTCGACAAAAGTCTGCTCCTTCGCAATACGGACCACTCCCCCATAATTAAGTGTATTGGAAGCGTCTGTTATGCTGCGCGCGACGCTAGCCATGTGTTAATTAATTACAGTGAAGTTCCTCCTTCGCAAAGTTATTTTCCGCAATTTTCTGGATTCATTTATTGTTGATGCGCGCGGCGCTACATTGGTCAAATAAATCGTCAATTTTTACCATGCGCGATCCCACTCAATTATTATTTTTTCCAGTCACACTTTTCACTCGAAAGAATTAATGGTATAAGATACAAGTACATCGTAGGGAAAATTGATCGTGCGTGGTTAAACCGCGGCGAAATTCTTGTTACTATAGAGGTTTTACTATAAAGCTATAAGTATAGAGGTTACTTATATAAAGTTGCTGAAATAACTCGCGGCACATTCCTGCAGGTTTCGTTCATGACCCTGGGCGTCTGGCTGGTTACCGCCTCAACTATCTGGCACAACTGGAACGGGGCACATGCTCACGAGTAGCAGGGGTGGAAACTTTGTTCCCGCTTTTTTGTGATTCGTGTTACCTGGGGACCTCAGGCTATTATGTTCATAAATAGAGATTCGGCGGAATGACAGGCTGAGCGCCGCCCAGTAAGATTTGTGACGTCACGATATCTGATGATGACGTCAGAAGTTGACCCCACTGGGTATACACATAAATAATTGGAGGTGTGTCGTGTTAGCATGATTTGTGTCACGAGAATTATAGTCATATAGTTGCTTGTAGTCTGTAGAAGTGATCGAAGAGAGATGAAGAGAAGTGAAGAACAGTCAGAATTACTGACCTTTTCAGTGATAAATGATATATAGCCGGTCTCACTCGTATCTTGTTGATCACATCTCCAAAAACATATAACATATTGATTATATAAACTCCGATGCAGAAAGAAATTGGCAACTCTTCAGAAACATGATAGGAATTTCGTCAGTGTTAAAGATCGAACACAGTTTCGAAATCAATTAGAATCTTAACTCACCATTTTGCATTTTGGCACGTCAAACGTGGAACCAACAATTTGATAATTTCAAACCGTTTCAGAGCGTACGTATTTATATTATATTAGGAATTGAGCTTATTGTATCCAACTTTTACAGTTTAATCTGATATTTTTAGTCTTGAACTTCTCTTTTGAATAGCTTTTAATTCAGTATAAGCAATAAGGGGTGATCGTTCACATATTACGTTATCAGCCGAGGAGTAGGGGGTTTCTGCTAATGTAATTTTGACACAATAGCTATGTTTAATTTAAATGTGATTATATTAGGGGGGGGGGGGGGCGGGGGTAAACCTTTTTCAAAAAGTGATTTAACGAAATAATATGTGAACGAACCCTAACGGATAAATTGAGTGAAACAAATCTACTATTCGGAAATAAATTTCTAATTCAAAGAACATTCTCAAACGAAATCAACAATAATCGTAACAAACAAGTACAATTAATAATAACACTTGGAGGACGCCACTTCGACGCGCCGCGCAAACTATCATTCTTGCTTCGCATCGACGAGATCGTTGCTCTGCGATGCAGAGCAACAATCTGGAAGGGTTGACATCGTCAATCAAGTACAACACAGCCTAGCCATTTAACGACAGCATAATCTTTATACTTTTAGTTTTATAACGTTAACCTCTAACTAAATTACAATATGTTTCTGTCAATTAATTAATATATATAAGTCTAATCTTAAAAGTCTAAACAAACAACTTATTGTAAGAAATTTACAATTAAAAACAAGCAAAAGTAACGTAAACAATATTCAAAACTATTACTTCAACATTGAAACAAAAGAAAATCGTAATATAAACATCACAAACTAATAAGTGTGGGAATATGGCGATGAAAAGTTCAACTGTTCAAGCTACAATGATAGTCCGTCTTAAAACTACATAAATTCAATTTATAAATGAACCTATTAAAAAATGTGATCCGATCATAGCAAAGGTTTCATCGATTGTGTTTGACAACGCTATGAACACCCTGTTGTACACATATCTTCAGTGAATAAACTTTAGAAGCTATTTCTTTCTTTACTTTCTCTGCTTGTACCCTTTGAAGAGAACGCTGCTACGTCCCTGCTTAACAAATCTATCCATAAATCTCTGAACTTCGAACTCCAATTTAGAAAGGTCTGAAATGTTGTAATTGTATGTTAAAGAACATTTTGAAATGTTACATATAATCGCGATTAACGTTACGCCACATGTTGATGTTGCGTATGAGGCGTAATTTAAATCACTAGGTTAAGCAGATCCCTTAAAAACACGAACATTTTGTTAATTGATTAACCAACAGGTGAGAAATTATCAATTAATTAATTAACAATTAGTTTATACTAATCGTAGTAGTAGTAGTATTAGTAGTAGTAGTAGTTAAATATTTAATAAACCCGCCAATCATTTGATTCTAGTTAAAACTGACCAGTTTCCCCAATGTTAGCTGCGATAAACCCGTCTGCTTTCTCCCCGATCCGACTCCAAGAGCTCTTCCTACTAGCCATGGCAGACCGAAGATAAATCACTACGATCAGGGTCAATAGAAGCTCTTTACTTATACCTGGCATTTATTTAGTGGTTAATTAAATATTTCAAGAATCAATAGTTCCCACAGTCAGACAACGAATGAGTTTAAAAATTCCAACAAAATCTTTATAACATCATTGGTAAAACATTTTCGGACATCTTCAGTACCTAATAAAGATAAGGGTTAATACTCCAATTATATCAGAAAATTTTAATTTGAACTAAAGGATGTTAGCTGTAAAAAGAAGCCAAACTCTCAAAAATGGAATGGGAAGCACTCGGGTATGGGGGGTTGTGAGGCCCCAACTAGTCGGAAAAAATATACTAGTCCCTGCATTAAGGGTGAAATAATTTAAGGACCATTATCAAAAGTTTTATTTTCAAATAAAAGTGGCATACCAAAAGGATCACATGAATTAATACCATATGGTTTCAAAGTTCTGAGTTTTTGTATAAGTAGATGTTCGTTAACTTCTAAATTACTAGGACTAGAATTCTTTAGGATAAAAACATTATAAGAAGCATCAAAATCAGGTCTATTGGAAAGGTTATGTGAGTCTATTAGGTGAGCTGCTAAACTGTAAGTGTCACTATCATCAGATAAAAAATCATCACTATGTTTTAAGGAAGGGTCTTTCAATAATTTATAATAGTTAGCTCTATGTTCGGTTACTCTTTCATGCAAAGTCCTAATGGTACGTCCAACATAGCAGAAAGGAGATGGACATAATTTACAAATGAATATATAGACTATGTTGTAGCTAGAACAGGTCCCTGGAGCTTGTCTTATCTTGACTCCATTAATACAATAACACTTTTCACTTCCTATCATTGCACAACACTTACAATTTCTTTGATGGCAAGGTTCTGTTTTTGTTACAGTGTTATCCTCTGCGTGCAATTGTGGGTTGAGGAGTCTTCTCCGCAAAGATGCGCCTGATCTTTTAACATAACTGAATAGTCTTTTGCCGGTGTTTCTATCCTGGTTGGAGGTCTCCGTTGTACTTGTCGTGTCGGTGTTAGAGGTAGACGACAAACTCGGAGAAGTCTCTATGGTGGACTCAAACTTTTCAATTACGTCTATCAGTGCCGCGTCACCTCCGAAGGTGGAGATAACACGTATTGTGTTATCAGGGGACACAGGGAGCAATATAGAACTGTTCGAGGTGTCCCTGCAGGTGGGGAGCCTGCGTTCGAATGTTTTCACCTTCGAAGAGATGTTGTTGATCATCTTTTTCGGATAGTTTGAGTTCGAAAAGCACTCTTTCAGCTCGTCGATTCTTAGGGCTAACCTATCATTGTCATTGATGATACGGCGGAGACGGAGACATTGGGAATAGATGATGCTGCTGTAGACATGGTTAGGGTGGGTGGATCCAAAGTATAGATAAGACCTAGAATCAGTTTCCTTTACATACAGGTCAGTCTGGAGGTTTCCATCGACGTCAAATGTAAATTGTATGTCGAGGAAACAAGTAAATCCTCCAGGGTCTTCGATGCTGAACTCATCTATATTAAGACCTACACTACTGAGTCTCGAGTTGACATTAGAGATAAATTCTGAAAACTGTCTTTTTGTTCCATCAAAAAAACCCGCTCCATCGTCTATGTATCTCTTTACTGTTGACACGTTTTTCATCAAGTGTTCATCAGAATATACTACTTTTCTCATGTAGTAGTAAACTGCTATATTCGCAATTTGTACACAGAGGCTTCCTCCCGTTGGTATTCCGACTAGTTGTTGGTACCAATCACCTTCAAATTGGCCAATAGAAGCTCTGAAGCTGAGGTCTACGAGGGCAAGGATCCATTGTTTGAACTCCTCACTCCATTCCGTTCGACATTCAGTCATAGCAACAGTTAGGGCTTCCATTGCCAAATCGGGTTTAAGAGAATCATATAATGCCTTGTAGTCAAAAGCAAAGCTTCTGAGCCGGCGTTTAGTATTGTGATCAAATGAACTGTTGATGCCGTCTAACCAGTTAAGTGCATCTCCAGAGTCGATAAGTAGATCCCCACAAAATTCGCGTTCCAATGAGCGTAAAAATGTGTCAGCAAGGTAAACATCTGAACGTCTTGTAACTCCCTCTTGGAGTGCTGTAATAAGCCTTGCGGGTGGCTCAACACCAGGTTTCAAATCATCTTTCTTAAGCTTGTGAATTTTCAAGCAAGGGTAGAAGTAAGGCTTTCCTGGTTTGAAATGCGGTAAAGTGCTTTGAGCGTTTGTTGGTCCTGATTGGTCAGCTTCGAGTTCATTCGATATACCCATGATACTCTTAGCTGTCTTTGCAGGAATCAACCCTCTTGTCTTTCCGTCAATCCATAGGTTGACCAGTTCTTTGTGCAAGGCTTTGGTAGGGTCGTAGTCAAGTTTTTTGTACAGGGAAGGGTTGCTTAGTTTGTCAACTGATCTCTTTCTCAAAACATCAGGGTCAACAATTATGGTGGCACCACCCTTATCAGCTTTTGTGACTAAATTTGTAACTAAATAATGACAATAAACGCTGCTACGAATGCCGATCAATTATTGTAATGAACGAGGCTAAGTCCGAGATGGCTCAAACGGCCACCTTCTCAATAACATTGTACCCAGTTGTGTAGAGCCTGTATCCACATCTGCATCTTTCATGTTGAGGTCTTTAACAAAAGCAGGCCCGAAGGAGAAGGAACCGTCTGTTTTTTGTAGGACAGTGAATCCCATCAGCATCTCATCTCTCACTTTGCCTGGGAATAAAATGAGTAAATATAAAGACTCGTCGCCAACCTAGAAAGAGGACACCTGCTTTCGCTTATACAGATTACACACGTACATTTACAATATCGTTATTATAATCAATAGGTTCGATATTCGTTGCAACGTTCATTTTATTTTTATCACCAACAGACGAGTTAGAAACAACTAAACATGTCACCTGACCGTCTTACACACCTATGTTAGCTGGTGGAACGTATATCAGACTCGCGTCTGCGTCGTCGTCTTCAGAAGAGAGGCTTGAACCACCAGAGATCCGCGCACAATCAGCCAGCGGTGCACCGCGTGGAGCACTCTGATTAGCAGCCTGCGGTGCAGCACTCTGAGTCATAAATCGATTTACCATTTTAGTCTTCTGACTTATTTGGGGTGCAGATGATGGGGAGCTCATCATCTTGCTCTTGGCCCACCGTGTGTTGGAAACTTGGGACCTGTTCTGCGGGGCATCAAACGAAGGTGCAGACCCAACACTTCGTTTAAATTGTTTGTTTCCTTTTACTGCACCGCCAAACAATCCCCCCTTTTTCTTGTAGCCCAAGTTAGGGGACGACTTCACTGAAAAAAGAGACAAATTGAATATTTATAATGTATTTCAAATTGCAGATTTGCATATATACAGGCTGATACAAGCAAACATGCTATCTGACCAAAGTAAGTTCCTCGCTAATAATAATATTACCAAATGCTATGAATCAAAACTAAAGAAAATGTCTCTGCTGTTAAAATGACAAATACACCAACCCATTCCCGGAGGTGCGGCCATGAAGCTGGCTTCCCCTAAAGATGCACCACTCGCTTCATCTGCCACTGGTGCTCGTTTAACAGCGGTTCCAAACTGACCTGATGATATGTTAGAAAAACATTAAAAATACCAATGAGATGAGTAGACAGGCCGAACTTCGAATAGGGCCAGGTTTTATGGTCCCAGAATAAAAAAGAAACATATTATATATGTCGTGGGTGCCATACTTAGAACTACCAAATAGAGATACATAGAGGTACCCATTACCCAAACACACAGCACACTCTTATACTAACCAGTGGAGACACTGGAGCACCACTTATTGGTGATGTTATAGTTGGTTCCCAGGTTCGTCATTCTAGTCTGCACGTGCGCGTCGTTTGACATTGAATCGTCCTCCTCTAACTGTGGGCATGTACAAATAATAACGAAATGAAAAATACAGCGGCATTGCACGCCGCAGTCCGCACGGATTATATTTTGGTAGTGTGATCTAAATCATCTTAAACTACTATACACAATAAAGCGAATACTAATCCCGTCCAAATTTGGAACAGCCAAGAAGAATTCCGGACTTTCACAATTAATTTCCAGTTAAACTGGTTCCTGTCTGTAAATCAACCCAGAATAACAAAAGAAATTCAGGGTTTAACCGTACCATTTTGACCATCCTTCTGGCCATGAGTTTATGGAGTAATTCGCTCTTCATAACTTTAGTAGTGTCGAGGTTGACCACAAGCATAACATCCCCATTTGGACCTGCGGTATCAATATTGTACAATATTTGTAATGTAAATATAGTGTGGATAAATGCGAATATATATTCTAAATAACTGATAAAATTATATTCCACACAAAGCATGAAATTGTGCTGTATATGAGTGGTGATTTCGCTCTGAGAATCAGGGTCAGTAGCTCAATTGGTAGAGCAAGAGACGCGAAATCTCGAGGTTCTGGGATCATTCCCCAGTTGTCCCTAGTTTTTCAGAGTTAATCATCACATATAGACAGCATGAGAGTAGGCCTGGCCATCTCGAAGTGATAATAATATTTGTGGACTTCAACGAACAATATCTATAGTATACATAAGTCTCAGCGGCCAAAGAATACCAAGCTGACAACGAAACCAAAACGTCAAATACCAAAGTGGAAAAATCAAAATTATAATAATAACTCTGACCAGTTCCAGATATGCGGAGGCCCACAGGCAGGTTTCCAAACTCCAAACTCTGATATACGATAGACAGCTGAGATGAAAAGCCGTGAGGAATGGGATTGGGGGCGGATTTCTCTCCTAGACTCATCACAGTTCCTACGTCTGGATTTCCTGTCCTGTGGAGAACGTAAGGTTTACCTCTGAATAAGCCTTTACAAAGAATAAAGATAGAGTTAAATGAAGTGTACACATGTCCATAGTTATAGCTGGTGTAAGACGCATTGGCGGCACACTTACGTGTTGTTTTCGGTAAAAAATCGCCACTAGGCAATAAATACTACTACATACGTAAACCAATCGATACAGACGCTGAAGAATCGTAAGATAACATTAACCTTCCCGTTAGGAGAAGCCCATAATTAACGAACTAGCGAGTAAATATACTCACATCACTTTATTGAATCATAAGCATTTGTTGTAAGAACTTACCTGATCGCCTTCTTCATTACTAGACTGGACGAAAAACTAAAAAACAATAATTGGGTATCCGAACCGGATTTCCCCCGCAAATATTCCCAACACCGAACCGGACCGGATTTCCAATCGGTCCCCAACCGTTAAAGCGTTAACTCTAAGCTACCCTGAATTAAATAGTTCTCACTTGAAGATAGAAAGAATGCTCTTCTGAGGTTTCATGTCAGATAACCAATCGAAGGTAATGTTGGACAGACCAGGAAGGAGAGACCGACTCAGTAAATCTAGAACTTTGTCTTTCAAATCTTCAGCTAAGGTGACCTGGCACAAGCAATAATCAATCCGCCGTGCTTTTAAGAAATGTTTTGGGAAATTTAAAATCAAAGAGAAAAAGAGGCTTGGGTAACGAATTATTCTGAATACCTAATGACAATCACTACTTGACGAATTTCAAGTTGATTTGTTTAGCCGTGATATAACCAGTGTGGACCCAAAACTAATCAAAATGTCATATCAATCCTTATCAAGATAATCAAGTGCGAAGACAAGTAATTTAAAGAAACTTACAAATAGTGCAACACCTTTACCAGCTCGAGCCAAACCGTTAACCAGTTCTCTAGAGGCCCCCTCTCCGATACCCAAAGTGAACACTCGCCCTTCCTTTTTGTACTTTCCAACCATCTCCACCGACTCCTGTCATAAATAAAGTTGAAACTACTTCATATATTTCTACATTTCGTCGCATAACTATTTTGTAATCAGTTTATTAATTAAGCTGAAAAAGTTGATCTTACCGATGGTCTTGACACATGACCATCAGTTAGAACGAATATCTGTCGCTCACATCCGTCCCCAACTTTCTGTTTGAAGATCGTTTCCAACGGCTCATAAACCCTTGTGCCTCCACCTAAAATAGGGTCGTAGAGTAATGAGTATATCCAAAACTAATTATTCTGGTGTCATTTTATAACCGTTAATTTCGTCATCCTCAAATACGGTCAAACGCGATAAACAATAAGTATTAATTAAGTACCTAGGCAACCTCAACAACTCTGGATAAGGATTGATATACAATATGCACATTGCAATAGATCACTATTTACTATTTACTGGGGGTTTAAACCACATTTTCTCTCATCCCCATCCCCAAATCCAAATTTGTCGTTATTTTTAAGGCGAGATAGTTTCTGACGGTCAAGAGGAGAAAGATACATCATAACAGGTAACCGCCCGGGTAACGTTCAACTACCCACAATATTTACCTGCTCTCATGTTATCAGTGTAAGCTCGAGCGTCCGCCAGAGTTTTGTCGTTGTACGGCTGAACTGACTCAAACAAGAAATCGAAACTAGCGTTGAAGCTGCAGATGTTAAACATGCAATCTGAAGGAAGGGAGGCTAGGAAGATGTGGAGGGCTTCCTTCGCTTTCTCGATACTCCGCCCCATCATAGAACCTGATCTGATATACATGAGATCAATACACTGCGATGTATTTTAGACCGTGATCTACCACGGAAATTTGTAGATCTATAGTAGTATTCAAGACACATATATTTGCTCACAGTAAAAAAAAGAAGTTCAGTTTCGTAAAACAAACCGGTCAACAAGGAAGATCATCTCAGACTGATAGTCGACAGCAGGGAACTCAGGAACCAGTGTCACCATAGCTGCAACCTCACCCTTACTCGTCTCCTCAATCAATATCTGGGACGAATAGCGCACATGATATGATAATACATTTCTCGACAGCAAACACTGATATATGATAACCTATACGGTAATGGAACACTCGCAGATACGACTTATCAGTCAGATCTATCTTTAAATTTATCCTGTTAAAACTCTTACCCGGGCACCGAAAGATTTCCCTGTCACAGTGCTTACAAATACTATCTGTTCCTCTTCAAAGGCTGTGCGCTCCAGAGTCAAAGAGCCCGTGCTGAATACAGTTAATTGAAAGGGTCTTATTACTCATTGAATAAAGGTTATTTAAGAGTACTCTCTTCAATTGATAGAAGCAAATGTAAAGACGGACAAGACAGTGAGAATTCGCAATTAACAGACTCAGAGACTCAGAAACATACCTGAAATAAAAACCATCCTCGTCCACAGCGTCTCCGGCGACAAATTCTATTTCATGCGGGTCAGCTTCTGTATTAAATGCTACAGTTTGGCGAACTTTCATTGTTATCTCCACATCTAACGCTTTATCCAGGTCTACCAACTAAATTGGAAGTTATCGTCACAATTAAAGTGCGGCTATACCAAAAGCGAAAGTAACTCATATTGGAATCGAACCTACTAGCATGCATGCTGGCCGTATTATTGGCGCGCCGCACACTCTACAATTAAAATATAATTCTTGCGCGTTACAAATATGCCGAAATATCTCACCTCTCAAAAGCGGAAGCAAATTGTTAATCGCTGTTGAATGGCTCTTCACTCCTGAACATTTAACAGTTTTGCATGTTAACATCATGAAAACCAACATACCTGATCAGCAGCTGTCTTCTCAGCACAATCATTGGGCGGACTAGAATACTGTGGAGCAACTGTATTTGGTATGCTGAGCTTCACCGCGTTATTCTCTATTGGTAGCTCGCAAACGTATTTCAACTCAATAACCGTGATACTGTTCGGCGCAAGTTCCCCCAACTGAGGTTTCATTCAGTAAATTTCTAAAATGAAATAAAGACGATCAATAAGCACTTGCATGTCAGCATGATTTAACTAGACTAAAGAAAATTGAATCGCGGACCCGTTAAAATGCACTATAATTATATAATTCTTAATTGTATCAAAGTTACAACACTATTTATTATACATTCTATAATAAGACTCATATGACAGGTCTTGTCGCAGCTAGTTGAGTTCACTTGTTCCATATATATATATCATGTGTACCAGAAACCTTTTGATCGAATATAAATAGATAAAAGTAAGTTGGATGACTGAAAATACTCACAGCTAATTGGTAAAGATCAGGTTTAAACTCTGTCAAAAGAAAAGCAGTTCTGTTGTCCCCCATAGCCAGATCATCTTCATCAATATCTGAAGCTGTCGCATTATCACCCTTCTTTTTCACTTTTCCCTCAATCAAAACCCCTGAGATAAATATTAGCCACTTAAAGGAAAGGTTTTGTGACTAATCAATGATAGATATTATCCAGTTATAGATTGCCACGCAAATCTTCTAAAGAGAGTGATCCTAATATATTTTTTAATAAAACACCGATGAGCTAGATTAGTCGTACAACCCCCCTACAATACACAGTCTAAATGTAGTAGACGATGTACAATACACAGTGCAAATGTATTACACGATTTACAATACACAGTCTAAATGTAGAAGACGATGTACAATACACAGTGCCAATGTATTAGACGATTTACAATACACAGTCTAAATGTAGAAGACGATATACAATACACAGTGCAAATGTATTAAACGATGTACAATACACAGTGCAAATGTATTAAACGATGTACAATACACAGTGCAAATGTATTAAACGATGTACAATACACAGTGCAAATGTATTAAACGATGTACAATACACCGTCTAAATGTATTAGACGATGTACAATACACCGTCTAAATGTATTAGACGATGTACAATACATAGTGCAAATGTATAAGACGATGTACAATACACAGTGCAAATGTATTCACATACCGTTACTCTCAGCAGTGAAATAATGTACAGCACCGCCTTCTTGTATAGGGAAAATGTAAGTAGCTTCCAGTGTATCATCCATCAAGTTCACATAGCTCTGTTTTATAGTGTAGTGTCCAATATGGTTTATAACCTGAGGTAAAATGTAGAGTTAGCAAAGTTTTAGAGGTTGTAGAAAATGATGAAATTATTTAGCTGAATCCTGCGAAGAGCAGATTTCAGCACAATATTTAAAACTGTTAGGTTTTTACAATAAGTACAGAATCTAAGATTGAGTAGAAAATGTAAATAAGGAAACTTTACCAACGAAAAGGCTATTATGATATGAACATACCTCGACGAAAACTTGGCATTTCTCGAGATAAAGAGGAAGACAAAAGCCATCATGAATGGAGACTAACCCACATTCAACATCGTCAAATGTAGTGTAGGTATTCTTGAACGGCATACCTACCTAAACGATCATTTTGTGCATAAAACTAGCTGAAAAGTGTGGACAAGAGAATATATCATCATTACGACCACCCACGTGCAAATTACGTAAAATGCAAAAGATTGCATAGTAAGGGCCATAGTAACCAATGTCATGGTAACGAGGATTGTTACACGCACGTGCACGTGCAAAGATTTGCGAGCGCCATTTTGATCGGTTTTGTGGTAATTACATTGTGTTAAATGTGTTTTACATTTAATTCGGCTGTATCTTCGGTTGTGACGGATATTTTTTGATGCGATAAAAACTGACTACCAAATATAGATAAAAATAATATTACCTTCTTCCCTGTGACCACGGACTTTCCACGTGCAAATCAGACTAGAAATAGGAAGTTAGGTAAAAACCAAAAGGTTACATAGCAACGGTGTGTAACATAGCAGCGGCTGGAATACTTGACTCTATTCATCTTACCAGGGAGAAGAACATTTCTTATAAACCATGAGGAGATAATTACAAAGAAAAGTTTAATGTGGGAGCAAGCAAGAAATGGTATAAGATAACGTGGGCTGTCAAGGAGTAGAGAGGAATGAATATTAGAATCTAGGGGGAATACGGTGTTCATGGACCTAGTCGTGGAGAGAAGAATTGGGAGAAAGTAAGTCATGATGAGAGAATAGAAGAGAAACATATGATTATGATAATTGTAGTTGATGTGTGGGGTGCATGGAGAGTGGAGACTTAAATGTGTAAATTTTGTTAGGTATAAACGTGTTGATATGTATATGTGCATTTCTTGACTGTGTACGAGACAACCCATTCGGACAACCCTCCAGTCGCCGGATACAGCAGCAGTTGGTCAAACTCACTGGTTGACTACTCGCCATCCAGATGGTCAGATATCTGATAACCCTTCCGGCTCCACAGATGAACTCAACGAAGTAACGAAGTAAGTAATTATCATGATCACGAATGTACTGTCAGAAACGTCAAAATAAAACATGATGACAATTAAATTTCTACACACTTGCAATGAGCACACAAATAATGATTATACACAAATTTTGTTGTAAATATTTACACTGCTGTTTTGATAGTAACTATGATATATATATATGATATATACAAACAAACAATCGTTTACTAAATTATTATGAGATAACCTGCATCCTATTATTGTCTGAAAAACTCTGATCGCACTGATTAATTAAAACTATGCATGCAATTAGAGCGGAAATTACAGGAAATACGCATTTTTCCATAAAATACGCCTCTGATTATGCAAATTACAAATTGGTTTATTAAAATCTGGAAGATAATATAAAAATCTGTTTAAAGCTTGTATATTGTTTATTATATTACATATTTACATGATTCTGAAATCATATTATATATGATTATATAAGTTTGTACAAATATTATATACAAACTTTTTAAAAGCCTAATAATTTAATTAAAGTTAGATGCCCATACGAGTACACGGTTGTGTAATTCAAATTCTCATTCTGTGTTGTTGTTATCAAACTTCTTGAGACGGGCTCTGAAAGAAAGAAGCAAGTATTACTTCTGCTAATTTTTTCAATATCCGTCACATATTTATGTAAGATCGAATACGCCGTAACGAAGTTTTACAAAAATAGAAAATTACGCAGACACAACCTTTAGTACCAATCATAACGGTGAACGGAAGTTATGATAAAAATTCAGACACACAGTTACAAAAATTTGCAAACAAATTATCTCAAAACTCAAAACTCAATACTAGAATTTAGGAAAGTGCGGTTTTCACCGGCGTGACAATATATATATAAGAAACATGAGGTCATGATAAGAAGTGAGGTCATGATAAGAAGAAGTGACTTCATGCTTGGTAGTGGTGATGTAATACGTGTTGGAATATTGATATAATTTATAAATTACTTACTGTCGTAACTCCTCCATTGTTTTGGGCTTACTTTGGTTAAAACCTTGCTGAAATAATGACAAAGGTTACCAGTAGCAACCCAATGATTTAAGAAACACCGGTTTAAAATAAAACACATACAAATCTTGACATTTGACTGTCAAATGACTTATAATTTGACTGTCAAATGACTTATAAATATATATTATGGACTTCTTGGAGACATTTTCTAACATGACGGTCCGTGACAAAGCAGCATTATTAAACAAGATGACCAGCTACTCTTTATCAATCTTAAAAACCTACCAGAACCCTGGGAGTTGAGTTTCTGTTGTACCTCCTCTGATCTGATAGTATCTGTAAAGTTAGGGTGGGGTTTTTGATAAGGTGAATGAGAAAAAAAAAACGTTCACGATCAAAGTATGGAACGTGATGTATTGATTGCTCAAAGTAAACACAACATACTATCGCTGTTAAACTTTTGTGCCGGTTGAACAATGATTATAGCGGCATATAAATTATAAATTAACGAGAGAGACACCATTCACTCCAGTTGTATTCAAGAGCTACTCATAATTTCAAACTTTAAACGATAAACACAGCAATAGATAGCAAATTAATAGAACTTTCAGCAGAGCAGACATACACAATCAATTAAAGCACGGCTTCTAAAATGGTTGCTCCGAAGGCCCTGAAGTGTTCTTAAATAAGGGAGTAACACAACATGTTGTGTAAGAATGTCATGTTTACATCCATGTGATATAGCTATACTTGATCACAGAACGATTAGCAAATCAACTAACCTGCGAACGGGCATGCCTCAAGCTGGTATTTCCAGTATTTCCAGTATTCCCAGTATTTCGAGCTCGATTATTAGGGGGGATTCTTGGGAGTTTAGAGGTACTTCTAGCTGGTGTGATAGTAGGTCCAGCATTAGGGGAACATCTTGGGAGTTTAGAAGTAGCTCTTGCTACGGGGGCTTTAGTAGCAAACAATCTTCCTCTGCCAGACATAGCTGCTGAATGATGATGAAAAGCTCATAATCTGGAGAAATAAAATAATAATAACATTAAATAAAGCTGGACCAAAATGTCGCATAGGCTCTACTATACATTCAAATGATCTCAAGTTCTATGCGGAGTGATGAAGACATGCATACACTTGTTAAAACCATATCAGAGTTTAACACAAACATATAGTAGTGGCTGTAGTGAAGGTGAATAAGGGAGCAAAAGCAAAAGCAAAAGCAATCTATAATAGTGGTATCTCCCTACCCACAGGATCTGGATAACGAGGGTTTAAAGTATCTGGGAAAACTAGAAGCCAATGATATTATCCATAAAGAGATGATAGTATTAGTTGCAAAGGAGTATATTATCGTTATATTCAAGGTCGGATATATGAGCAATGAGAAAATAGAAGCATTGGAACATTGAAACAGTTCATTTTTGCAGATAAAGACATCTTCATATAATATTTCTCTCATGTTCAAGTTCTATATTATTTTCGCTAAATAATATACAGATCTGACTAGCAAATTACTCCTCAAGGTCAACACTCAACAACTAGCACAGTAGTGGTCTACAGGTTTCTAACTTCAATAAAACACAAGTTTTTTGATAAAATATAATCATTAATCCGTAATAATTCTATACCAATTTCTACAAAAATAGCTTGAATCTTAAATATGCTCTTAAACATGCTTGCACAATGCACACCAGCCATAATGTTGATAGACTGATTGTAAAGAGGAACTTGCTATTCATTGCACTACACCTGTTTTAGACATAGTGAGTGTTCTGTAATCACGTAACATGCTCTGAACAGAGTTATACGAAATAATATGTGATATAATAGTTTATTAATAGATTGGCACTTGAATAATTCGTCTGATTGTTCAACCTTGAAGAATGGAAGATAGCTGGGAGGGGGCTTGTAATTAATAATCATGGTGATTAGCCCTGATTAGCCCTAATATTCAACACTTGGACTCAAATTGATCATTAATTCTAAACTTACAGTAACGGCTAGAGTGATAATCTACACTACAGTTTTCAAATAAAAACATGACGTAAATTGAAAGCAATTGATCCAAAACTGATCCCAATTTTAAAACTCTGAAGTAAAATATCTAAAATAAAATTTACGTTTTCCATTAAAAATTCACAGATTGACAAACTTAACCGTATACAAAAAAAATTCTACTATATATTATTTAAGATCTAAATAACAGATAGTCTAAACACAACGCTGCTATCTAATCTTTCTCTAAAAAATAGAATAATATGGCTTGCATTCTGCGCCAATTTGCTCTGACAAAATTAATATTTCTAAGATATTTTAAATCATAAATGTTATTAAGAAACAATTCTCTGTTATTTAATTCACGCTGTATTAATGAGAACAGGTTAGAAAATAGATGGATTAAAAACATAAATAGTCACACAAAAATTTATTTTTTGCCAATATTATCGTATATTATCAAGGCAAATCAAATTATCATTATTAAAATCAAATGAGCAACTCATGCAAAGGTTAATATAAATTTACTATTTAAGTTACAATCAGTTATTCTAGCATTTGCAACAATTTTAATTGCTCTCTTATCAGTTGTTTTATCTTTACATCGACACGCCAGCTACTCAGCTTGCCTTTGCTTTGTACAATGGACTTCACTGTGGAAAATTTGAACAGACTCGAAAAAGAGTTATCAGTGGCGTTGTATGACATTTTGAAACTCTCGAAAACTCAAAACGTTACAGAGCTGAACCATTCGAGACTAATGGCCATTACGAAAGACCCCTTGGCTAATGCTGTTGAAAAACTTTCTAAATTGATGACAGGCAATATCGAACTATGTAAATCTGCGGCCAGTACGATAGACAGACTGAAATCAGAGCAGCTTAATTATCAGAAGGATCTTATCAAACAGCAACAGAAAGAGCTCGACTCTGTCCAGCAAACTGTACAAACTGAGATGAAAAAAACATGGTGCGACATCGTGAAGGAGAACTGTGAAACAACTACCAGTGCTCCGTCGATTGACAGTATAAAGACAGCTGTGAAAACTGTAGTTGAAGATGACGTCCGCAGTAAGAATTTCATTGTTTACGGTGTGCCAGAGAATTACGGCAGTGATCCACATATAGTGGCAGAAGAAGTGATTACCGAAATTTGGGAATCATCGGGGTGTGATCCTCAAGTGGTGGCAGCAAGTTTGATCGGGATTAAAAAACCTGCAGATAGTGGTAAACCAAGACCGTTAAAAGTGACATTGGCTTGCACGGAATCAGTCAAAATGGTTCTTGCTCGAGCAAGAAATCTGAAGAAATCTAATTATGTAGCGTACCACACATGGTACATCACACCTGACAGAAATAGGGAGGAGAAAGCAGCTCATCAGAAACTTGTTGTAAAAATGAAGGAAATGATTACTGCTCAGCCAACAAAGTATCATTATATCAGAGACGGCAAGATTTTAAGTGTAGATAAGGTCAAGATGTAACACAAGGAAATTTTCCTTCTGGTTGGTAATATACTCAATGATGGGAGTATAGTGTATTGGCTATGCCCCGCTTACTAGTTTAGCTCTTTCTAGTCCCCTGCTACACGGCATGTAAACAGGGATTGGCTAGTTAGAGGCGGTCCGTGTAGGCCTTACACTGTGCTTTCAGCAATACTCATATAGTGTTTTTGATATCCATATTTCTTCGATTTAAGTGTACTATATAATATAAGGCTCTTATCTATGGCTGTTGCGATTGATTGGGGACCAGCTTTTGGTACACTGGTTAATGTTTACTATAATATTAAAGTATTACAATTACATAAAATTAGATAAATATAAATTCCCTTTGCTTAGGACGTACCAAAATATCCAAAAATGAAACGATGCACCTTAGCACACAACACAATACATAAACAACTGGCAGTGTATCCTGCGTGTATTTGTTGATTTCGGCTGATAACGAGGAACTTTTAATTGTGAGTTATACAACTGCAACCGTGATTGTAACTCAGGTATGTGATGACTTGTAGAGCACACATCGCTGAATAGCAATCGCGATGCAGGTCTCACCCAGGCCAGGTTTATCTATAGGGCTCTTTTCTGAGGATACACTGCCAGTTGTTTATGTATTGTGTTGTGTGCTATAAGGTGCATCGTTTTATTTTTGTATATTTTGGTACGTCCTAAGCAAAGGGAATTTATATTTATCTAATTTTATGTAATTGTAATACTTTGATATTATAGTAAACATTAACCAGTGTACCAAAAGCTGGTCCCCAATCAATCAATCATTCACTCATTATTCAACCAGACAAGCAGCTCTAAGTCAGTAGGTCAAGTTAATGAAACCTTGTTACTACTTAGTCCTGTAAACTGAAGTATATTACAGTAGCAATATACAAAGGGATGATGCACCTTGTAAGATTTATTTTGCAAACTTTATCATACAACCAGGTTACAACAGCAAGTAACGGAGATAAGACTGGTACACGTCGTGTAGTCAGGTACCCCAACAGATAACTTAGCATGTGTAGTAGTACGTCAAGAAACCAGTAAAGATACAAGTAGATACTAATGAGTAAATAAACCATCACATAACACAGTGGTAACCAACATTTGTCGAACCAAGAACCAGATCTCCACATCTCACTATACTGTGCTCCTCTTTTTCTAATAGCACCGAGAGGAGTATACAATATACCTTCCAATAACATATCTAAGAATAACATCCCGAATAGCAGCCTAACTATAGATATAATCGCATTCTTATTAGTGCTTAACAGCAGGTACAGTGAGACTGGTATCACTATGTACACAGCGTACTGTGTCTCATTGTCTGTGTTCAGAAGATATAGCTCGTAGATACAAGAAACAAACAGTAGCAGTACAATTAAAGGAAATCCACGTCTACTGAAAAGTAAATGAACATCAGTGTATGAAATAAAATCCCATTTTGCGTTAACTGCATAAATATCGAAGATGTTTTTTGCAAAATGCTGACAGTTTTTATTCCATACACTATAACAATTCGTCGGCAGTATGTCTTTCAAATGACAGACTACGTCACCAAGTAATGAAGTAGACTGGGCTTTTTTCAACTCCCTGGTAGGATTTGCACGCGGTGCTCCTTTAAAGTAAAATATAACCGAGTCAAGACTTCCTCCAAAACTAACATATACACCGTATTTTTGTTTTTCAACTGCAAAGTATCTTCCATCTTTTGTATGTAAGACGACAAAAACATGGTAGTCTACCACGGAAAATTGCTTTTGAAAAAAACGTTTAATAACAGGCCAAGGGTTGGAACTTTTGAATGGAGCATCTAAAGGCACACTGTAAACACCAATCCATTCGAGTTTTGCTGTTTCAAAATCCTTACAATTAGACCGGAATACTGTCTCCAGATTAGCATCAGTTACTAACTCAGTACAGGCGGGGATGATAATGGTTTTAGGACGGGGAACAACTTCACCAGTTTCTACGATTCCATCAAAATACAAATACAGAGCGGATGAAATGCTGAGTAGAAGATGCAGGGTTACGATGTACTGTTCTACACAATGTGATCTGAAATAAGTAGATAGTTGCAATAACTCAATTAGATTTACGTAAAACAAATGTTGTAAACATATTGCTAGCTATTTAAACTTGAAGCTGCAACTGGATTTAAACAAGTTGTTGTATCACAATTATTCACTAAAATCTGAACATAAACCCACACTATGATAACTAATTCATCCTGTGTTACGTTGTAAGATGTATTGTGGCTACTAGGTAACGCCTAACAGTACAGAGCAGGAACTATGATACAAAATACAAAATACTCAAAATAAAACTAACCTGGAAATATCTGGTATCCTGGTATACAGCCCCTTTCCGCTAGTGGTAACTGTGATAATGATACACAGGGGGATAATAGCTAAATCAAGTGACCTAGACCTGGAATAATATTTGTAATATTGTACATTTAAACGTTGAATATTATATAATGTACGATTAATACACGAGGAGAACTTTCTTTAAAGACGTGGATTCTGGTCATCTGGTGGGTAGGTGAAACATATTTTTTGACACCTGACAGCAATCTTACTATATATAAAGCGAGACGATATATATATATATATCTGTGCCATTTTACTGACACCACGGCATCAACTTTAACGCGACTTTCCGCATAAACCGTAAAATGTATACAACTGGAACTTTTTTGGCTGGGTCAAATGCTTTAATGGCCTTCAAATCAGCATGAAAAAATAAAAAATTGGCCAAGGAATAATGATTTTAGAGCCGAAAATTTGGACCCCCAAGTGGTGTCAAAAACGCCAATTAAATAGGTAATAATTATTTTAGTATTTTGAGTCTTGACACCGTTTAGGGTTATATTATACGGGTTCCTGCTAGTTATCCTAATCCTATCCACTGTTCATCAATCAAACCCCAGAAAATATAAATGTATGTATATACTTTTTTTGTGGTTTATCCACTGGGCTTAGAGTTTGTGTTTAAGCTACCAAATTTTATTATTATTATTATTATTACTTACCGAACAGAACTGTTCAGATACATTCTTGCCAGTACATATAATACCCAAAGTATAACACACAGGTCACGGAAAACTAACCAATCCCACCAATCAGATCTGAAATGTAATTTATAATACAAATGCAGTTAAATATATTGGTTATATTATGTTTCAACACATAAGTTACTACTTATATTAGGACGCAATGAAACTACCGGACCACGATGTATGGGGACTTGCCACCCCATGGCAACATTAAAATATATCGACTCTGTTACATCGTTTCCTGTTAGTATAAAACTCCGTTACAAAATGAACTAGGATCTGGCAATACTACACCTTAGATCAATAAAATATGATATAATAATGTATAACTGTTAACTAGACTTAAATAAAAGTCTGAAGAATATAGAAAATAAACTGGTTTACCGCTTGTAAGTTTAACAATAAACTGTGAAAGTAAACTGTACCGATACGATCAAAGAAATTATGGCTAAAGGAGAAAGGCAAAAGGTAACATGCATAAGGAATTACAAGAGGGCTTCACACACACTATAATTACATGAAGTCATTAACTGTGAAAATATGCCAGTGTCTGAGGATACACGCTGGCTGACTATTAATAAATAATTTAAGATATCTATGTAAGATTTTCCGTTCAAAATTCTGGGTAGTCAGTTTATCAAATAATAATTTAACATCATGAATAAATTCAGTAACTACTGAGGAAGATTTGCATATCCTATATAATTCACCTACAAATACTCCATACGAAGGTTTAACAGGTACGTTGGAGCGAAGGTTAGGAAAAGTAACGACTTTAAAACTAAAGTCACGTCGTTTGTCATATAATTTAGTGTAGAAACGATTGTTCAAAATATTAATGTCTAAATCAAGAAAAGTCGTAGATAAATTGCTAGAGTTTGTAACTATAATCTTCAACTCTGCGGGGTAAATATCATTGCAAATAATATCGACAGTCTTATTGTTGATATTGGGGGTGGTTAAATCGTCAATGTATCGACTGGCGTGTTTCAAAGTGTGAACCACAGGGTTCTTGTTTTTAACTTGCAATGTGATGTAATTATGCTCGTACCAGTATAGAAAAAGGTCTGCGACCTGGGAAGCACAATCACATCCCATTGGGATACCAATTACCTGTCTGTAGATCACACCTCGAAACTTAACATATATCTAACTTACAAGACATATTTATGTTCGACATAATCCCGGTGACCTAAATGATTTGGGAACGAAAATATGGGGATTTTTTCCCGAAAACCGCCAGATTTCGTACCCCAAATTAAATCATGATATTTAGGGATTTTGTTTATCTCCTTATTTTACAAAAATGAAACCCAATATTCGAGAAAATATTTTAAAAGCAATTCATGATCGAATACTAGTGTTCATTTGGTTGATGAATCATATTTATAACTTACATTATAACTTATATTGATAGTAAATCGATAAAGTCATAATAAGGAAAATACGTGAAAAATAATTTGGGGAAAATAATGAGTCCCGTGACCTAAATTTTCGAAAAACCACCGACTTTCGTACTTTTAAATGTCTTGTAAGGTAGCTTCTAAAGCTGGCAAAGCAGCTAGCTTATAACATAAGGAAAATATCTACATAGCTAGTAGCTACCAGAGCAAAGAGGCAGTAACAATACTAGGTCTACTACTACTACTCCTTTTTTTGCGCACTAACTACAGTATATTGGTTAGTGACGCTAATAAGCAAGCATCATCAGAGTTTCTCAAATACTACACCAGCTTCTAATTTGAAAATTGCAAAGCTATTGGCCCTGCCCAAATATCTAATGGGCTACTGAAATCGGTGTTTTACACCTTATTTTCCGCATTATCTTTTTCTACCTGTTTTATATTGTTTGTACCTAAGAACAGTCTGACTACCAATGTTACGGTCAGCAATATACTTTCCCAGATAACACGTTATAGTATAGAATTCAAACAGATCTATCAAAACACTGTCCACCTTAAAAAGGCTGTTGTGAAGATAACATACGCCTTGAAAGATACTTTTTGTGAATGCAAAGTTGAAAAGCTCAGTTAAAGATTACACTATTTCGTTGGAACCTTCCCACGAAGGTTCATTCTAGGGTGATGTTGTATCTAGTGAACTAGGTAAACGCTTATTGAAAGGGCAAATCACAAGAACAGAAAACTTATTGTTTCATTGTCTCACTTTGTGGGCCTTACCCCACAGTAAAACTGTGCCTCAACCCTACTGTCCCTACTGCTGGGATTGGCCCATTACTTAATGGGCCAATCCCAGCAGTAGGGACAGTAGGGTTGAGGCACAGTTTTAAGGATGCAAATGTAAACATACAGAATACCCTCTACAGTCTACAACATACAAAATACCAGAAGCCTCCAAACAAACTCTCGGCCTATTGTCCTCACTCACGCTAATCACACACACACACCCTCACAACATCCTTCTTTGACTCCTTTATGGAGATGAGCAATACCCTTCAACCTACGCACGTCCCTCATTCGAGGCAGAGAAGCCTTGATTGCCAGACCAAGAAATGTACAAATGTATCACTAGCAGCGAAATACGGATATACCTTCTCCTTAGTCTTACAAATAGTTAGGTGGCAAAAAACCTGACTGTGCTTTTTAGGCATAACCACACCACACTTTAAAACTGTACCCATTTGCACTTATTCGTTGAAACAGAGCAACCTCAGTTAATGTAGGAAATATCCATAGCAAAAATGTATCTCAATTTAGCAAGGTTTTGATAGCAAACCAGCAGGAGCATGAATCAGATTCATCATAAATTTTAATATGCAGTATTTTAGCAATTTTACACACAGATTTTCCAGGGAGCGAGGCTGAAGGGGAATGATCATTTAATAAAACTTGATCAATTTTAATTAGTTTTAGATTCTAAGCTATAACCCTGAAAATTGAAACTTACACGTTTTCTGGTATCATCAACACAGAAAATAATGACATCGCAAACAGAAAATCTGAAATATGTAAATCAGTTACCTCGTCAAATTCGAATAAAATAAAATATGGTAGAATGTGATTATAGAATATAGAGCTACCTCTAAGATCAGATACCTATAATGGTGATCAATTTACAAAATTAAACCGTTTAAAATGTGTTATCATCAATCTGAGATATGGAAAAAAGCTCACCTTTTAAACTTGTACACGTTATCTTTACAGGTTATCGTGAGCACGGAGCATGTAGTGGAGTTTTCACTACTATCTACCTAAAATAATCGTTAGTGACCATGTCAATAAAACGAATCATCAAATTTATGCCAATTGAACACATTATAATACTGAAAATCACAAGAAAAGCATGTGATTAAATATAGTTTGCCAAGTGCAAAGTACTAAGTAGTGCATATTAGCTTTAACAGCAATCCTATTTTAAATTATAAGGTAAATGGTATAGAACTTGAAGTATCTGCATAGGAAAAAGATTTTGCAGTTATAACCCATGTAGCTCCCTGTTTTAGAACGAGCAGATCAAAGCATGTATCTCTAAGGCAAATCGTATGATTAGTTATTACTAGAGGAAAATTTGTTATGATTGCTATATATAAAGCATTAATAAGACCTCATCTTGAGCAGTGGCGTAACGTTGCCTGTTGTGTCCAATTGTGGAATCCACCTGTGGCTCATGAAAGTTGAGGGACTGTTTTGGAGCTGGACAGCTTCCAGCGGCACCTTACCCGTCTGATTGATAAGGTGGGTACTCTTCCTTACAGTCGTAGACTGGAAATCCTCAATTTTACAACTGACAAAGCTGGCAGACTGCAGATCGGCGAATACGTGGGGACCTCATAGAAGCTTTTAAAGTAACAAATGGTGGATTCGAACTCGCAACGTCAGGGCCAGTAGACAAGCAGATTAATCAACTAAGCCACTGAGCCACAGTGAAGCAAAAGTTGCCTCAAAGTACCAAAAGTTGCCTCAAAGTGTGAATAATGCAAATTCACTGTGTAGCACGATAAGTTCGAGCTGTATGTGTAGTATGCCTTGCAAGAGTATAAAAAGGACACAAAATGGATAATTTCTTGTTTAAAATGCCTATAACTGCTAAAATTGTCAACCATACCAGCGATGAAATGTAAAATTAAGGACATTATCGAAACTACCACAGTTTTGGATCGGAAGTTTAAAACAATAATACAGGAGCGGTCTAAAGCAACACAGCAGGTCGGAATCACCCCAGCTACACATTGGGCTATTTTCACAGACGGCTCAAAAATAGAACAGTTCTCAGGTGCAGGTTACTGCGTAATAAGAAACGCAATCGAGGTCCAGAGACAAAGTTTCCACCTAGGCACTAATGCAACGGTATACCAGTGTGAACTGTTTGCTCTCAACACATCAGCTCACTGGGCAACTATCAATATTTCAGAACCTGGGAGTATAACATTCTTTTCAGATTCACAGGCAGCAATCCTAGCAGTCACACACCACACGGTCACATCTAACTTAGTTCTTGATACCATTAACTACCTTAACAAACTAGGACAAACCCACTCAGTCAATGTCAGGTGGGTCCCAGGACATGCAGGTATTCCAGGAAACGAAAGAGCTGATGAACTAGCCAGAGAAGGATCACTCACAATCGCTCTAGGTCCTGAACCCTTCATCAGCATATCCGAAGGAGCAATTAAGACGGCAGTAAAGGAGTATTTACACGGAATTCATCTTCGTAGATACAGGAACACGGCACTGAGCGAGAAAGGGAAAATACCACTAACAATCCTACTCACCAAATATAAATACAGGAATCTTGGACTTGCATGAAATCATCAAAGATGGCTAACCTGGCTCTTCACAGGACATAGCCCCCTAGCCTATTTCCAATACAAGGCAAACAATTTCACATCCCCCCGTTGTGAACACTGTCCAGAAGAGGAAGAAACCTCGGAACACTTCATGTGTCACTGTATAGGATACATGACCATTAGGCTAAGAATTTTCGGTAATATATTTCTAACCTGGGAAGACATAGTATCAGCTAGAATTAGTACGGTTATAAAATTTATCGAGGCAACCAATAGACTACTAAAGGAGGATCTTTTCGAAGATCCCATTAACCACTAACACAAATAGGACATCTTGCAGTTTTTCTAGGCACTGACCGTCCCTGGAAGTCCCTGTCTCCCCATCGTTAACCCGTAAGGGGTTGCACCAGGGGTGGTGGTAACAGCACTTCAAGACTCTCGGAGTCTGTTGTCGATATCAATGTATAATATATTTATGGTATATAATTTGGGAGTCTCTCTCTCCAGCAGCAGAAGTTGGAGAATGGGGACGCGTTGTGAAAGCCACCGCAAGGAAGGCTTACAGTCGACGCCGACCAATCAAAAGAAGAACTGCTAAAATATCGAATATTTTAAAATAATTTTTACCGTACCGTAATAAGCCTATTTATATGATATTAGTCAAACGGAACTTTTGTTACCGAAATTATAATATTTTCTAAAATTTGTTTTAAATTTCACACAAAAGGGGACCCTTGTGTTCAGGTTTTAAAAATTTGATAATAATATTCCTTTGAATCTTAAAATATTAGTATTAAAATTTGGCTACTATACACGGTAGAATTATTTTATTCGCATTTTTAGGCAACTCTTTGTACCAAATTTATCAAAATCGGAAAACCATAATTCTGTGTCAACTCATGGTGTTTAGTATTACATACTTTAGTTGTAGAATTTCGACTAAAATCAATAATATATAGAATTGAAGTACTTAATTTTTCTCCCGGAGCGAGTAATTAATCCATATTTTTTATTTATTCTAAGAAAAGATTGTAGCGCGATGCACTACTGGGTCGCGCCGCGCATCAAATAATTCTTCTCGCAACCACATCTTCGATAGATCGGCGAAATGCACCACTGTGCCTCACCGAGCTGCGAAGGATTGACATCGTGAATCAAAAGAAAAGATAAAATGTATATATAATATAACGTATTGTAGGTTTATAACTTACCAAGACGAGCGCAGAGATAAACTCGTCAACGTGGTTTTAATATATTCTCATGGAACGGAACAAATATTTAATGAGTATCACTACGCAAAAACCTATGGTTGGGTAATTTCCAGAATAGAGATGAAAAAAATGTATAATTAAAACTATTGCGAGACAATAAAATTGATTAATGATCTCCGTACCGTGTGAGCTTGAGATTATTTAGTTTGTTTGTTTATTGCTCGCTCCTTTAACATTCCTGTACAGGAATTAAGGCTGGAAAGAGCGTCGCACACACTCAAAGGGATTGTCGTGACAGGCCAGGTAACATATAATTTACAATTTAATACAACATAAAATTAAAACTAGAATAAACTTTGGCATTTGGAAAGTCTTAAATCAGTGTAATGCGCGGCTTAAATTAATTATTTTCGTGCACGATATTTTAAATCTTGACATGTGTTTCGATAAAATCGAGCGCTACATAATGAGTTCAAATTCATGAAACCTTTGCTTTAAGCAGCGTTTAGCGGGGAACCTCAGGCTATCATGTTCATATAGAGATTTGGCGGAATGACAGGCTGAGCGTGGCCCAGTAAACATTTTGCTGTTTTAAACTGATATGACGACATTAGTTGCTCTAACCAGAGCCCTCTCGCTTGCAGTAGCGCGTCACACAGAACGCGCAGACACATGGCTATGTGAACGACATTAGCTTAACTTATTTTGTTACATACTTCTTCTTAATGTGGTGACTTGGGGTCCATAAATATAACAATACATGCTGCTAAACCAAAAAGAACAACTGGGGTAGGTAGACATTTATTAGGAAGAGAGTAAGATTTGACCTATTCAGAACAACAGTCATAGCTCTTAGAGGAGAGAGAGGGTTGAAAAGTAGTAGTAAAAATAGCAGAATTAGATATAAATTTGGAGCCAGTTCTTTAAACTGGCTTACTTATACTACTTAAAGGGTGTTTATAAATTTTATTTAGTTTTCTATTGAATTCATGTACAACCCCCACACATCAACAACAATTATCATAATCATATGTTTCATCTCTATTCTCTCACATGACTTACTTTCACTCTCCCCAATTCTTCTCTCCACATAGGTCCCAAGAACACTGTATTCCCCCTAGATTCAATATTCATTCCTCACTACTCCCTTGTACAGCCCACTTATCTTATAACCATTTTCTTTGCTTGCTCCACATCAAAACTTTCTTTGTAATTATCTCCTCATGGTTTATAAGAAATTTTCTTCCTCCCTGGTAAGAATGAATAGAATCAAGTAGTCCACCTGCCTCTGGGCGTCTAGTCCTTATTCATTCTTTTGTTTTCCTCTCTTAACTTTCTTTGGATAAGCTCTTGTTAATCCTTCATGCTTAAATCCAGGTTCCCAACTCCCTATCTGTACTCTACCAAAATGTCCAAGGTCATATTTTCCAACCTTTCAGTACACCTAATCTCCTCCCATCCCTTCATTGATGTAATAAGATTTCCGAACTTCAATCCTTTACTAACATAGAGCAAGCGCTGACATAATTTCCCTAAATGAGACTTGGCTCAAAAATCTATTTCTAGTCAACGAAATTTTACCTTCTGCCTCAATATGAAATCTTCCGCAAATGACCGCACAGAAATACTCATCCTCAAGATCCCAATAACCCTAAAAAGTTTAGGGGAAAATGGAGGTGTGTTCAATTGGCTGTTCGTCTGATCTCGACGCCAACTACTACCCGACTACCAGTTAGCCTAGAGGTTCAGAAATGCTTGCTCGTTAAAATGTGCCTTTTTCCTATCAAAGAGTATTGTCAATCTTAGCTTGTTATAGAGTAGGGAACTCTTTGGTTACCTAATCATTATGTCATAGGTTTATTGATATTCGCAATCTAGTTCCAAAAAGAATCCCCCTGCTAAAATCTATTTTTTTGTGATTTTTAATCTGTTCCCCTTACAGACTGGCTATCTCATCCAGTTCCGTACGTTCTCATTGGGAGCAATCTTCATATATCTTTCATTGAATCTTTCTCTCTCCCCCCAGTTGATCAATCACCCACCCAAAAAAGTGGTAATACATTAGACATTCTTCTCAGTAATTATGCTATCACAAACGATAAACTTGAATGTCTGTGATCCTCATTCCGTGTGCGAAATCTGATCATATCCCTCCGTGTCAAAAATTTTCATAGAAAGCTCCTTTTTTACCCCTTAAGAAAAACTCCTAAAAACGTAAACTATAATTATATGAAAAGCAAACTGGGACATGATAAAT